GATCCGTCTTCAGTGTAGGAGGATAGTTGGCTACTTCAAAAGCAGTACCACTGCAAAGGTGAATTCCTTTATTACACAGCAGTATTCAAATTAATGCAAAATGACTTGGAAAATGTTTTGTTTCATATTTAATTTTTATAGACAAGGCTGACACAGGTGCAGGAGCAAATGATGCCTACAGAGCCTGTGCTGAAGCTCATTCAAGAGGTAAGTTGACATCCATAACTGCTTCCACTCCCCTTTCAAACAATAATGACCTTTTATTTTCAGGTGGAGACACGCTGGAACAGCACCTTCCACATGTTGCAACGAATGTACAACCTCTACAAATTAGCTATAACCTTTCTCTGTACCCCAGCCTCATCCGTCCATTGTGACAGACTATTTTCAAAAGCAGGAGAAATCCTATCGAAGAAAAGAAACCGTTTAAAGCCAAACACTTTGGAAATGCTTGTTTTCCTCAATAAAAATGAATGAAAGGTGTATCTTGTTCCTTGTTTATGTCAATGTCTAAAATAAAGCAATCATTCTTTCAAGTAACACACGCACATTCATTCACATCACAACTCCCTGCCCTTTTGACTCCATCAAATCCATGGTATTTTAGTCACTGTGTCATGACATTTATTTTCCACATGATGGCGCAATAGAGCAAATGGAGCCTCATGATGCATCGGCCCAGGACCGACCCAGTTGGATGGAAAGCCTCATTGCGTCATGAGGCTTCAGATTCCCATCACTAGCCAAAACTAAGTAGTGAGGTTACGAATGTGACAACTGATTGAAGAAGTCGTTGTACTTTAAAGGCCAAACTATTTAAATGCCTGAAATAGCTCACTTTTAGGTTACAAAGTGATTTCGGTACATTGTCTAGAACCACAATTATTATTCAATCGGGGAAAAAGAAAAATCCAGAAAATTATTGGAATGTAATTATGTAAGAAGTATATGTGGCATATAGAGAATGCGCATAACAAGTAAATGCTCTTGAATTAGAGGGCAAAAAGTATAACCATCCTGCATATTCACCCATTCCCATTCATACAATAAAATAAGTCATGGCTCCCCTTCAAATGCCATCTATCAGCTTGGTGTTCAACTGTACAAGCCCAAATTTCACACATTTGTGACTAAACTCCATCAACTTATGTCAGTATACATGCTTTTTATGTTATTTTTACTTAGAGGTTTTCCTCAAACAAAAAGACGGCCGTGAGGCCCCAGAACTGGCCCGCAGATGCACTCAATAATTAAATGATAATACAATACAAGAAATACAATAGTAATAAAATGGACAAAAAGGGAGTAATAGGCTAGTGTAGATCAGATGGGATGAGATAATTGACACTTATCAAGGAAGATGTTAAATCAGCAACATTAAGGGAGCTAACACGGTACTTCCTGTTTGTGCTCTTATTTGAAAACAATTGACACCACTTACGGTGCACTACTTGGTGGACGGACGTTAGCTTCACGACTGACACGGCAACGTGTTTGTATGCTCACGAATGACAAGATTTACTGGCTCATGACTTACACCAGGGGTCCCCAACCGCAGGTCCGCGGACCGGTACCGGTCCGCAGGGAATTTGGTGCCAGGCCGCACAGAAAGAACTTGCCTTTATTCCGTTTTATTTCGGAAGACGAAAGATGTTTTATTTTTGTAAAATTACCGGATTCTCCATTACATCCGTCTGTGTCACGCTTGACACACGTCAAGCCACGCTTCTCCGTCACGTGACCGATTACTGTTAGGGTTAGGGTGTGACCCCAAGAGCACGACAACAGGCAGGTATTGTTGAAGCCAACACTTGGCGTAGTTTATTCGAAGAGTCTTCGCAAAGTCACTCAGGGGGAAGCACGAGGAGTCCACAAGGAATTGTCCACACAAGGAACAAGTAGCTGTAGGAAATGGCAACAAAGTCCACTGGCGTGGTGACGGCACGAACTTGCACTGAGGAATGGTCTGTGAGTCAATATGTACCAGTCCAAACGAGCAGATAGGCAACAGGTGGGTGATGAGCTGACGAGTCTCAGGTGTGAGGTGCAGAGCACCCTGGCTGAGGAGGCTGCCTGGCTGGCCCCTCCCTAACAAAGGGAATCGGATCGGATCACTTCCAGACAGTTGCGCGTTGCCGAGGCAACGGTTGACAAACAACGGGAGGGACACGGCGAGATTTTTCAGGCCTTGCTTGCAAATCCCGGCACTCCGTGACAGCTTTTTGCTCCGCGAAGCGACAGC